ATAGTTTGGTTATCCATTCTTCTGTTGATGGGCAACAACCTAGGTGGTTTCCATCTTTTGGCTATGGTAAATAGTGCTTCAATGAACATGGGTGTTCCTATATCTGTTCTTGTCCTGGCTTTCACCTTTTTAGGATATATATACTTAGTAATGGGATTGTTGGATCAAATGGTATTTCTAGTTCCAACTTTTTAAGGAATTGCCATATTGCTTTCCTCAGCGGTTGTATCATTTTATAGTCCCATCAGCAGTGTATGAGAGTCCCAGTCTCTCCACATCCTTGCAGTGGTAGCCAAGCACCATCTAGTTCTTCTGGTCTCACGATCATGTTATTTTCTGTCTTGTTGAACTTTGCTACTAGTGCTGGGGCAAGATGGTATCTCCTTGTTTTGATTTGCATCTCTAATGGCTAGCCTGTTTACAGTCTTGTAAGCTAATTTTACTTTGGATACTTTTATAAGTGTGTTGCTTTCTGGGTTGTTGTTATGTATATTGGTTGTTGTCTGCTGTTGTTGGTTCAGTCTGAAGGACTCTCTTCAGCATCTCTTGTAAGGTTGGTCTGGTTTTAATAAATCTCCTTAATTTCTGTTTATCTAGAAATGTCCTGTTTCACCCTCGTGTATGAGGGACAGTTTTACTGGGTATATAATTCTTGGTTGGCAGTTTTTTTCTTTCATATATCATCCCATTGCCTTCTTGCTTGCACTTGCCTGGGGCAGGTCTCAGGTGCGGGATCCTCTAGAGGATGAAGGGCAACTTCCATGGGGTGCCCGTCATGAGGGTGTCCCTCTGCTTAGCACCTCCTGAGGGACTGGCTTTGTCTTCAGATGCTCAGGTTGTTAAGTTCTCTGTTATTTGGAGCTGCAGTCTGCTTCCTTGGGACCCTCACCCAGGGTCAGGACAGGCAGCTGTACTCTTTCTTCCACATGACAGTCCTGTAGGCATTTGAGGACAGTGGTCCTTTCCCCCAGGTTGCTCCTGAAGCTACTCCTGCAGCTGTCACTTGGCCCTGCCGTCCTGTTCTCCACAAACCAGTGTGTTCAGTTGACATCCTGCTTATTGGTCATCTTCACCCCATCACCCATGCAGATAAAATGGTCCCTGGAAAATTGCTGACAGTTACAGAAAATCTTTGCTTTAATTTGTCTGATTTCCATAATTCAGGACAGGTTGGGTGGTGGGGAGGAGTTTTGATGATACTGGAGTTGTTAGTTGTCATTGAGTGGTTCTGACTCACAGTGACCTTAGGGACAACAGGAGATGAAGTGTTGCCTGGCCACCACTGTCACAGCCCGTTGTTTCAGCTCCTGTGTCCGTCTCACTGAGGACATCCCTTGTTTTCACTGTTCCTCCACTTTACCAACCATGTTCTGTCCCAGCAACTTGACTTTAATGCCCCAGCAGTCCAGTCACTTAGTCCTATGGTGGGCTTAAAGATTATTATCTTTATTTTCAATGTACACAAAAGTTACTGTGTATTGTATGTGAAATAGAACAAATCAAAAACCAGACTCACTACCATGGAGTTGATTCTGACTCCTAGCTACCCCCTTTGGGTTTCCAAGGCGATAAACCTTTGTGGAAGTAGATTGCCCAGTCTTCCTTCTGTGGAGGGGCTGGTGGGTTTGAACCACCAACCTTCTGATTAGCAGCCAGATGCCTTAGGCACTGCACCACCAAGGCTCCTTTTCTGTGTGTTTTGGAGATGGAACAAATGATGCTTTAAATCTTTGGGGAGGGAATTTTGTCTTTCTGACTGGACACTTTCGCTAACTTCTTTCATAGTTATTTTTGGTAGCTCTCTGATATCTGCTAAAGCCCATGCCAATACTGAGCTGATGGATTGATCCATCATCACATTGCCTTTCATTCTCTGATGGCAAACATTAGTCAGAACTCTACCATAAGGGCTATCACTGCTTAATACAGGGGGTGTTAGAGTAGTTTGACACAGAAAGAATGATAATTTCGGGGAAACTGCTAAATGAAAAGGGTGACATCTGTCATACGTAATCAGCAAGCCAACCCAGGCGTGTGTTGTTGTTGTCGTGTGCCGTCGAGTTGGACCTGACTTATAGCGACCCCTTCTTGGGTTTTCAAGGCGGCATCACTACGGAAGTAGATTGCCCAGCCTTTCTTCTGAGGAGTGGCTGGTGGGTGTGAACCGCCAGCCTTCTGGTTAGCAGTCAAATGCCTTAGGCACTATGCCACCAGTGCTCCCAAGTAAACAGTATAGCCGGCCTAATGTGGTTACCAAACAAATTTGTATTTCATCTTAACTTTTGAGAAATAAAGGAGCTCTTGTGAGGCAGTATTTGGCTGCTGACCAAAAGGTCGCCACTTCAAACCCACCGGCTGCTCCATGGTCATCTTTGCTTCCCTGAAGATTGACAGCCTTGGAGACCCTGTGGGGAGTTCCACTCTGTCCTCTAGGGGCGCTGTGGGTCAGAATGGACTCCAGGCAGTAGGTGTGGTTTGGGCTTTGCTTCCCTGAAGATTGACAGCCTTGGAGACCCTGTGGGCAGTTCCTCTCTGTCCTCTAGGGGCGCTGTGGGTCAGAATGGACTCCATGGCAGTGGGTGTGGTTTGGGCTTTGCTTCCCTGAAGATTGACAGCCCTGGAGACCCTGTGGGCAGTTCCACTCTGTCCTCTAGGGGCGCTGTGGGTCAGAATCACTCCACAGCAGTGGGTGTGGTTTGGGCTTTGCTTCCCTGAAGACTGACAGCCTGGGAAACCTTGTGAGCAGTTCCTCTCTGTCCTCTAGGGGCGCTGTGGGTCAGAATCGACTCCACAGCAGTGGCTGTGCTTTGGGCTTTGGTTCTGTGAAGACTGACAGCCCTGGAGACCTTGTGGGCATGTTCCACTCTGTCCTCTCCGGGCGCTGTGGGTCAAGGTTGACTTGATGTCAATGGGTCTGGTTTATGAAATAAGCAAAGACTGGTCTTGAAGTTTTGTTTAAGCCATACACAGTATTTGATTACCTAAAGAAAACTTAGGAGCTCTGGTGGTATAGTGCCTAAGGTATTTGACTGTTGATCAGAAGGCTGGCAGTTCACACCCACCAGCCACTCCTCAGAAGGAAGATTGGGCAATCCATTTCTGTAGAGATACCACCTCGAAAACCCAAGAAGGGGTCACTGTGAGTTGGGACACACTTGGCAGCAGCGAGTTTTTGTTTAAAGAAAAGTTAACTTCAAACGATTAAATTTTTACCAGTACTTAATGAAATTAGTTTTTAACTACTTCATATTATACTTAAACAAGAACTAGTAATCTGTTACCAGGTAAATTCTTTAAGAATTTGCACAAAGGGCCTGGGGGCAGCATTTGACCTCCTCTAACTTCCCAGGGGGGAGGAGGGTCAAGATCAATAGCCCCCAGCTGATTCCTGTGAGGCCTAGCTCAGTCATGCCACCCCCTCAACTCTTACCAGTGCTGTCCTTTGCAGCAGTCTCTGCTTCTCTGCTGGGTTCGGGAATTCATTGTGATGGCCACAGGAAACTTAAAGACCATACTCACAGCTGGGATTTATTAGGGGAGGAACAGGTGGCAGTTCAGGATCAGGATCTGAAACAGCTCAGGATGTGGGTGTTCACTCAGGACAGCTTCTTCTCAGCCTTGCCCGTAGGCACGCCTTTCTCTTTGGCCCTCAGCCCCGTGGCCTGGCCTCTGCTCAGCCCTGCTTGGGCAGGTGTTCCAAGGCTGTTTTAGTTCTGCTCGTAGGAACCCGGACGGGCACCCTTCTCTGCCAGCAAACCTCCTGCCCGAAGGCGCCCTGCTTGCTCTCTCCCTTTCTTGTTCTGTTGGCCGGACGCCCGCCGCTCTGTCTTGTGTAGGCCTCTCGATTCGGCTGCTGTCTCTCTGCCGTCTCAGCCCAGGGATCTCAGGTCCAAGACGGGCTGCACTCCTGGCTCTTCTTTCTTGATGAAAGTGAGATCCCTGGGCTGAGACGGCGGAGAGATGGCGGCCGCATGAGACAGAGTGGAGGGCTTCCTGTCCTGTGGAGCCCTTGCTGGTGGAGCGGGATGCCTACCTGGGCACCTGTTGGCAGAGCTAAGAGCTTTGTGGCACTGGCCTGAGTACGGCAGAAGCCAAGAGCAGGGAGACACGAACCTGCAGCACGCCTGAGAAGAGACTGTCCTGGTCAAAGAACTGTGTCCTGAGTTGTTTCGGCTCCTGAATTGGAACCAGTTAACTTCTGTACTAAACCCTGTAATTGTGAGTGTTGTCTGTGAGCTCTGTGTGGCCGTCGCAATGGATCTTGGAACCCAGCAGAGAAGAGAGGGTTGTGAGGGGTGGTTGGTGTGAGGATCAGTAAAAGCATTTTGAGAGTGGTGGCGCACCTCAGCTCTGGGTCAGGCTCAGCCTCGCACTGTCAGTGTTCTTCGGGGCCCTCCTTCCCCTCGTGAAGTTACAGGAGGTCAGAAGCAGCCCCACGCTCTTTTCTGCAGCATTGTGGGTCGGAAACACGTTAGTGGTGTTCATTCTCTGAAACAGCAACAAAGTGGGAGTCTGACTCTGCACAGGACAAGGACTTCGTGTCTGTTTCCTTTTCTGTCAGGCTGAGCTTTGAACATGAGCCACTTGGTTCAAAACGTAGCTCGCCCAGGGAAGATCGGCATTCTGAAATGGAAAGGTGTTTTTGAAAATCCATGTGAGTTATATTTCATTTTATTTTTTGTTAAATAGGTCATTTACGTGTATACTTATACGCATTTTTCTCCCCCTTCCTTTTTGTAGCTTCTGCCAGAGACACCACTGGGCCTCGATGTGACGTTAAGGAGGAACCACCCACCTGCAGGCTGCTGTCAGGATGCTGACCCGCTGGTCCCGCCTGCCTAAGAGCGACATCCCACTCTAGATGCCGGCTGCCGGCAGAGACACGGGCTCCTCCTGGGTGCCAGGCAGCTCTCCTTCCTCTTGGAGCGAAGAGCTCCTCCAGACGCCATTGGAACCTCCGCCGCAGAAGATGCTCTGTGCCGCCCGGCTGGCCGCAACCTGAGCCCATGCGCCCCCTGCTCACCACCGGCGTGGATGGTCTGCCACCGGGAAGCGCCTCCACCTCGCATCCCGGCCCCGGGTCTGTCTCTGCGATGCCTCTGCTTCACGCGCTGGGTCCCGTGCAGACCTGGCTGGGACAGGAGCTGGAGAAGTGTGGCATCGATGCCATGATTTACACACGCTATGTCCTCAGTCTGCTTCTGCATGACAGCTGTGACTACGACCTGCAGGAACAGGTGTGTGCCGCACTGCAGGGACTGGCATGGGCAACGCAGTGGCAGGCTGCTTGGAGGGGCGCCTTTGTGTGAACACTGTGGGGCAGCTCTTTTCCTCCAACTAGATTTCTCAAAGGGCCTTGGTGGTTCAGTGATTCAGTGCTCGGCTTAACCCATCAGCCACTCTGTGGGACAAAGATGAGGCAGTCCACTTCCGTAAAGGTTCAGCCTTGGAGACCCTGTGGGGCGGTTCCACTCTGTCCTCTAGGGGTCAGAATGGACTCCACGGCAGTGGGTGTGGTTTGGGCTTTGCTTCCCTGAAGACTGACAGCCTTGGAGACCCTGTGGGCAGTTCCACTCTGTCCTCTAGGGGCGCTGTGGGTCGGAATGGACTCCACAGCAGTGAGTGTGGTTTGGGCTTTGCTTCTGTGAAGATTGACAGCCTTGGAGACCCTGTGGGCAGTTCCACTCTGTCCTCTAGGGGCGCTGTGGGTCGGGATTGACTCCAGGCAGTGGGTGTGGTTTGGGCTTTGCTTCCTTGAAGACTGACAGCCTTGGAGACCCTGTGGGCAGTTCCACTCTGTCCTCTAGGGGCGCTGTGGGTCGGGATTGACTCATTGGCACCCATGAGCAATGACAACAGAATTTCTCAGTGAACGACGGAGTGTAATGATCACATCCTGGCTGACTCCTGGTCTTGTCAGGGAGGAGCTCCCTACTCTGTTCTGAGTCTCACTGCTTTGGACTGTCGATTTCTACTGTTTAGGAAAGTCACCCATCATGACATTTTATGACTGTGGTAAAATGTATATGACCAAATGTTTCAGCCTTTTTTTTTTTTTGGCTTGAAACAGTACAGATTTATCATTTTACCCTTCTGGAGGTCAGAAGTCCAAAATGGGCCTCTCGTGACTAAAGTCAAGGTGTCAGAAGAGCTGCGTTCCTTCTGGAACGTCCAAGGGGGAGCCTCGTTCCTACTCTTCCCAGCTTCTGGAGGCGGCCCACGTGCTTTGGGTCATAACCCCACTTTTCCGTCTTCACCCAGCATCAGGACCAGTCTTTCTCAGGCTGCCATTGCTATGGATCTCTCCTCCATTGACCTCTTCCACTTTTTTTTTTTTCAAATTGTGATTTGGGTGAAAGTTTACAGAGCAAATTCATTTTCCATGTAGCAGTTCATACACATTTGGTTTCATGATATTGACTGCAATTCCCCACAATGTAACAGCTTTCTTCCCACTTCCTCCCTGTGGTTACCTCTTCCCTGGGTCCTTCCCTCCCAGGCACTCCTTCCCACCCCCCTCCCAGCTGTCTCCTCGTGCAAACACTGCCCTTTTATTCTGTCATGGTTGGTTGCTCCAAAAAGTGTACCTGCCTGATGTAAACGTTCACCCCGTCTGCCTGTCTGTTGTTTGGCTGGAAACCACAGGAGTGAGTTCAGTTCCAGA